GTGGGGGTGAGTCTTTACCTCAAATAGAAGAGTTAAATCGTCTTTGTGTCTTCTTCACTAACAGCACAATGGCAGACTGTTAGCACTGCTGCCTTTCAGTGAGAAGATTCTGGCTTGAACACCAGGTTGGATGCTGATGCTTCAGATACATCAGTTTCCTTCCACAGACCAAGAACATGCATCTTAGGTTTTTGGTGGCTCTTAAGGGGCCCTACGGTTAGGTAGACTGGTGTGTCACCCCTCTCACCCAGTACTACTGAAGATAAGCACCAACACCCCCTGACCTTACATGATGGATGGAATGTTTTAATATTAAAGTAAAATATAACAAAAACATGCATTCATATAAGAATAGATGAAAACTACAAAGTTCCTGGAGAAACTTTGACGAGGACTGTCAGGCTGCTGCTGATTTAAAATTCTAATTTGACAGTAATATGTGTTTGGGTTCGCTCTCAGCTACCACTATACCAAATTTCAGCTGAATCGCTTTAAAAATGGCAGAGTTATGGTATTTTTTTCTTTTAGCTAAGGTGGCCATCTTGGATTTTTGATTTTCATTTAGAGTCTATTAGGGTTTGTTGTCAGCTACCAATACGCCAAATTTCAGCTAAGTAGCTCTAAAAATGGCAAAATTATGGAATTTTTTCTCTTTTAACTAAGGCGGCCATCTTGGATTTTTGATTTGGATTCACTATATGATAGCGTACATTCTCAGCTACAACCTCGCCAAATTTCAGCTCCGTATGTGTCAAAATGGCTGAGTTAAAGCCATTTAAATGTAGCATTGGTGGCCATCTTGGATTTTTGATTTTCACACAGCATTCTCAGCTATCACCACACCAAGTTTCAGCTTAATATCACTAAAACTGACCAATTTATAGTTTTTTTGTTTTTTGTCTTAGGCAGCCATCTTGGATTTTTGACTTTCAGTCTATCAGGGATCAATCTCCGCTACCAATACGCCAAATTTCAGCTCAATATATTTAAAAATGGCAGAGTTGTCATATTTTTTCTCTTTTAGCTAAAGCTTGGATCTTGGATATTTGATTGTCATTAGGAATGTATAACAACTCACTCTCAGCTACAACCATACTTAATTTCAGCTCAATATCTCAAAGAACGATGGAGTTATAGTCAACTTTATGTTTGCTGACGTAGCTGTGGCAGCCATCTTGAATCAAAATGGCTCCAAATGTTAAAAAGTTCTAGCGATACATCTGATGATTACTTTCTGTGAGTTTCAAACAAATCCAACAATGAGATTCTGTTTTATAACTCAATCTCAATCTCAGGGGCTGAGGTGGAGTAGAAGCAGGGCAGCCGACTCGGGACCCTGGCCCTGGGCTTGATCCCCAGTCATTGCACACCTGGTGGTGTCTCTGAGCAGGACACCTCATCCTCAGTTGCCCCCTGGGCACCCTCAATAGCTGCCCACTGCTCCACCTGGTGGTGGTGGATCAGTTAAATGCAGAGCGCCAATTTCGCCATTGTATGGAAACATACAATGATGGCAATACATACACATTATTATATCTCAAAGATTGACCGAGCTACAGGTCCTTCTCAAAAAATTAGCATATTGTGATAAAGGTAATTATTTTCCATAATCCTTTGGTTTTGGTTGTCAGCAGCAAACTGGTTGATCCACTCTGAGAAGGTGCTATTTAAGAGACTGAGCTGAAAACAGCACCTCAGACTGAGGAAGTCTCTTGGATGAGAGACGAAACGTTTCTCGATTTTTTTGCTTTGTTTTGTTTTTTGTTTTTTTGAAAGTCCAGAGGACCAGATTGAACTTTTTTGGATATTTTCCATAATGTAATGATAAAAATGAAACTTTCATATATTTCAG